TGGATACAGGTGGGCATTGTGAGCTGGGGTATCGGCTGTGGGCACAGGGGCTACCCTGGCGTCTACACAGAGGTCAGTTTCTACAAGAACTGGCTCATCAGGCAAGTGAGTCATGCTTCGTGTTGGGGCGCAGTAGCCCCCCTGCTTTTCAGCCTGTGCCTCATGCTGCACCTGGCCGTCGTGGTAGCTCCATGACCACCTGCTCCACGCGTGTTGTGCGGCTCCCACGCTCCCGCTCGGCCTTCCTCCCAACTCCCTTCCCTTCTCAATATTCTTCCAATGGGCTGCCCCGCCGTGGAGCAGCCGCAGTGGACAGCGCGAGACTCCTGGGCTCTGATCGCAGCCTGCTAGGTATGGCTCTGAGAGAGAGAGAAAGAAAAGGCGGTGCCGTGGCCAGCTTTTGCCAGGGTGCCAAGTCCGGTGCTTGCCCACCTGGCACTGTGTCTGGGACTAACGGAAGTTCCTCTGTATCCCAGAGCGCATCCAGCTGGGGGAGCAGAGTGGCTGACCCAGAGGCCTCCTGTGCCAAGCCAAGGTGGCACCTCCATTTCCAGGGTGTTCCTCAGGGTCGCATTCCAGGGGGACCCTCAAGTTGTGGGCACACAGTTGGGGACTAGAGATTTCAGATGGGAACTGAATAAATGTTTGCCCAAGTGCCCTGTGTGTTGTGAAGTCTGCTCACCCCTAGTGTCTGCTAAAGAAAATACTCTCTATGGAAAAACTAGGTCGCCATTTAGCTAAGGAAGCTGTTTATGCTTCTATTAAACCTTAGAAGAAAGGCTGGGGGGGGGGGGGGGGGGAAGGGGCGGGGGCTGGGAAGGTGGCTCAGTGGTAGAGTGCTTGCCTTGCATGCCTGAGGCCTTGGGTTTGATTCTTCAGCACCACATACAAGTAGAATGCTAGCCTTGAGCAAAAGCAGCTTAGGGACAGCGCCCAGGCCCTGAGTTCAAGCCCCAGGACTGGCAAAACAAAACAAAACAAAAAAACTCCAGCAACAACAGCAACAAACACCTTAGAAGAAAAGGTGACACTGAGCTCTGTCCTGATTCCTAAGCTTTTTTTTTTTTTTTTTTTGGTTCCAGTTGTGGGGCTTGAGCTCAGGGCCTGGGCGCTGTCCCTCAGCTCTTCAGCTCAAGGCGAATGCTCTACCACTTTGAGCCACAGCCCCACTTCCAATTTTCTGGTGGTTCATTGGAGATAAGAGTCTCATGGACTTTTCCTGCCCAGGCTGGCTTTGAACCACGATCCTCCAGATCTCAGCCTCCTGAGTAGCTAGGATGACAGGCGTGAGCCACCAGCACCTGGTTCCTGGGGCTACATTTGATGATAAAACACATCCCATACCCTGTGTGTCAGGGACAGTTGCTAATACCTGTGCAGGGAGGCTTGTCACAGATAGTTTTTGCTCTTTTTTTTAATTACTTGTTTTTGTTATTGTTGTTTTGTTCCAGTACAGGAACTTGAACACAGGGCCTGCGCATTATCCTCTAACTTTTTCCATATATTCTCAAATCACAAAGGCTTAATAAGAAACTGGGTTAACAAGATGCCCAAACCTAAGGTGGGGGCGGGGTGAGGGTAGGAGAGGAGGGAGGGCACTTGGGGGTGCTTTCATGGTCTGCCACCAGAGTGGGGGGTGTGTGGGAGGAAATCAGTGGTTTTCAAAAACCAGGCACCAGTGGGGGGAGGGGGAGGATGCTGTTGCCTGTCAATCAATCAGCGCAGGGACGTGGCCAGGACTTCCTGCACATGGCGGGCGCATGCATCAGTGAGCCATTGCCGCCGTCCAGGTGGTGCTCTTGATCTCATGGCTTCTTCTTGGTGCACCCTTGGACCCCTGGGCTTGGGAGATGTTTCTGATCTGACCTGTGCTGCTGCTATTGCTGCTGCTGCTGCTGCTCCAGCCATTACTGCCCCATCACCACCAACTTGAGCAAGGCTCGCAGCTCATGAAGCATGTTCTTAACTTCTCCTCCACTCCTGTGTGCCCCCCGCCTCCAGTCCTCTGACAGCTGATGGTCCCCTTCCCCTACCCCCCCCCCCCCCGCCACACTCCCCTTTGTTACCCCCTCCCAGAATCTGAAATCCTTGCCTACTGGGATTTCCTACCTCAGGCCACACCTGCCCTCCATTATTCCACTCGAAGGAATAACGTTAAACACTCAACTTTCTTCCCAGATCATGCCCTGTGCTGGTGGCTCACACCTGTCAGCCTAGCTACTTGGGAGACTGAGATCTGAGGATCGAGGTTCAAAGCCAGCCTGGGGCAGGAAAGTCTATGAAACTCTGATCTCCAATGAACCAGCCCAAATCCTGAAATGGAGCTGTGGCTCAGGTGGTAGAGGGCCAGCTTTGAGTGAAAAAGCTCAGGGACAGTGCCCAGGCCCTGAGTTCAAGCCCCAGGACTGGCACATTGAGTGTAGCGAATGAACAAACTAATTCCTGGTGAGCGAAGGTACCTCTTCACGGTCATCCCTCCAAAGGAACTTTTACTTTATCTCTGTCCCCTTTTCTCTGTGGTGAAGAGGACCAGACAAGGTGGGTGATGGGGCCCTTAGAACATTTCTAGAAGGATGTTCTATTTTTATGTATGTTTTATTTGTTTATTCATTTATTATCTACCTATGTATTTTGCCGATCCTGGGACTTGAACTCAGGGCCTGGGTGCTGTCCCTGAGCTTCTTTGTGCTACAGCTCTACCACTTGAACCACAGCGCCACTTCTGGCTTTTTCTGAGTGGTTTATTGAGATAAGACTCATGGACTTTTCTGTCTGGGCTGGCTTTGACCCATGATCCTCCAGATCTCAGCCTCCCAAGTAGCTAGGGCAACAGGCCTTGAGCTGCCTGGCTGTGAGTCTTTGATGATTATTTCCTGTTTGTCTCAGCCTTTCTCTCTCCTGGTGGAATGTCTCTATGAATGTCTTGATGGTTTTTGTTTATGTTTTGTTTTGTGTTTCTGCCAGTCCTGGGGCTTGAAGTCAGGGCTTCGGTGCTGATTCTTAGCTTTTATTTTGCTCAAGGCTGGTGTTCCACCACTCGATCCATTACTTCCGCTTCTGGCTTTATGCATGCATTTATGTATGTATATATGTAGTAGCATCCTTGCGAAGTGAATCTTCCTGGCAGAACGCAACAGGATGGCTGTTCTGGGGATACTTAGGGGTTCAGAAGACCTGTCAGCACTTCTCTATCTCTTTTTTTGTCTCTGTCTCCTCGTTTCTTTCTCTCTGTGTGTCTCTCTTGTCTCTTTCTCTCCACTGTCTCTTTCTTGTCTCTTGCTTCTTTTTTTTTTTTTTTTTGGTCGGTTGTGGGGCTTGAACTCTGGGTCTGGGCGCTGTCCCTCAGCTCTTCAGCTCAAGGCGCGCGCTCTACCACTTGAGCTACAGCGCCACTTCCGGTTTTCTGGTGGTTTATTGGAGATAGGAGTCTGCCCGGGCTGGCTTTGAACTGCGATCCTCAGCTCTCAGCCTCCTGTGTAGCTGGGATTACAGGCGTGAGCCACCGGCGCCCGGCTTGTCTCTTGCTTCTATCTTGCTGACACTTCTCTATCTTTGTCTCGTCTCCATCTCTTATCTCCCTGTCTTTCTCTCTGTGTATGTCTCTTTCTTGTCTCTCTCTTCTCTCTATGTGTCTTTCTGTCTTTGTATCTCTGTCTGTCCTATCTCTGTGTGACTGTTTCTTGTCTCAATGTCTCCCATCTTTATTTTTTTTTTTTGGGTCCGGTCGTGGGGCCTGAACTCTGGGCTGGGCACTGTCCCTCAGCTCTTCAGCTCAAGGCTAGCGCTCTACCACTTGAGCCACAGCGCCACTTCTGGCTTTTTTCTTTTTGCTTATGTGGTGCTGAGGAATCGAACCCAGAGCCTCGAGCATGCAAGGCAAGCACTCTACCACTGAGCCACCTTCCCAGCTCTCTCATCTTTCTTGTCTGTCTCTCTGTATATCTCTCTGTCTCTGTCTGTCTGCCTCTCTTTGTCTCTCTCTGTCTCTGTCTCTCTCTCCAGGGAGATTCCAGTGTATCCCTGACTTGGAAAGTGGAGGGAAGATGGACCTTGGCTGAGGTTTAGTCCTGGGAGAATGTGCACACCAGGTCAGAATCCAAGCCCGGACACACATGTCAGCAAATACACCAGCTCAATCAAGACACAAGTGAGCAATGGGACTCTCTCAGGGCTCTGCAGATCTACCCAGCTTCCTCTTCCTGTCCTGACTGCAGTCACCCCTGATGAGGGAGGAAGGGGGAGGGGGGTCCGTGATTTCACCTTCCTTCACCCTGCCTTGACTCTGATCCACTCACAGGAAGTCTGACCAGAGTCACACGTTCATTCCACAAGACTCCAGAGCGGACCCAGGACCCTGGGTCCTGCTGTGGCATCCAACAAGGGAAGGGGTGGGGTGGGCGATTAGGCCTATCATCTTAGCTACTCAGGAGGCTGAGATCTGAGGATCATGGTTCGAAGCCAGCCCAGGGAAGAAAAATCCCTGTGAGACCTTTCTCACCAATGAACCACTCAGAAACTGGAAGTGGAGGGCTGGGAAGGTGGCTCAGTGGTAGAGTGCTTGCCTAGCAGGCATGAGGCCCTGGGTTCGATTCCTCACCATCACATACACAGAAAAAGCCAGAAGTGGCGCTGTGGCTCAAAGTGGTAGAGTGCTAGTTTTGAGCAGAAAAAAGACCTAGAGACAGCACCCAGGCCTTGAGTTCAAGCCCAACCACTGACAAAACAAAAGAAGACTTCATGTCTCCAATGAACTTCCTCAGAGTCAGAAATGGCGCTGTGGCTCAAGTGGTAGAGTACTAACCTTGAGCAAAAGAAGGCTCAGGGACAGCGCCCAGGCCCTGAGTTCAAGCTCCAGGACTGGCACACCAAAAAATCGTGAATTCTAGAATCCTTGCACAATGTAGGTGCTCCGCCTTCTGCTCTACGTTCTACTGTTAAGGAACACAGCAGTGAGGGCTGGATTATTGAAAGGAGCAGCGAGGGTTGGACCTCTATTTGCCATGGCATGTGAACCAGGGACTTTTCAGGACTTAATCTCAGTTCCACTTTCTTCTGCCAGACTTACGAATGAGCCCTATATGGAAGGTAGGGTTTGGGGGTCATGGGCAGAGATGCTGGGTGCCTGTGTCACTTGTTTGCAGGCCTGAAGGAGGCCCTTCCTGAGTAGATGGGTCCATCTTCAATAAACTGAGGAATGAGGGTGAGCTGTGGCCTTACAGGGACCAATATAACTCATACCATTTTTGGAGAAATCTCTCCCCCACCTCCATTCCTGGGGCTTGAACTCAGGCACTGTCCCTTGAGCTCCTTTTGTTCAAGGCTAGCACTCTACCACTTGAGCCACAGTGCCACTTTTGGCTTTTTCTGTGTATGTGGCATGGAGGAATCAAACTCAGGACTTCATGCTTGCTAGGCAAGCACTCTACCACTAGGCCACATACCCAGCATCCCCCATGAGATTCTTATCTCCAGTTAATCACTAAAAAAATTGGAGGTAGAGCTGTGGTTTGATTGGCAGAACACTATCCTTGAAGAAAAGAAGCAGAAGCAGAAGAAGAAAGGAAGCTCAGAGACAGCATCTAGGCCTTGAGTTCAAGCCCCTGGATTGACACACACATAAAAGAGACTGGGAATGTGGCTTAGTGGTAGAATGCTTGCCTAGCGTATATGAAACTCTGGGTTCGATTCCTCAGTCCCACAAACACAGAAAAAGCTGGACATGGTGCTGTGGCTCAAGTGCTAGAGCGCTAGCCTTGAGCAAAAAATAAGCTCAAGGACAGTGCCCAGGCCCTGAGTTCAAGCCCCAGGACTGGCCAAAAGAACCTGATCCTTCCCCACATATGTGGGTAGTTAGAGGCCTTGGCAGTCTGTATGAGGGCTGCTCCTTGAAGTCCCCTCTGTAACTCTTCTTGGTGGCTCAGGGCCTTGGTTCCGGAGCTGTGGTCAGTCCAATGCGTCCTGTAAAGTGGTGAAGGGGAAGGTCGTCGAGGTAGGCCGGTGGCCATGGCATGTGAGTATCTTGTTCCTGGGAGCTTACATCTGCAGTGGCTCGCTCATTCATTACCAGTGGATCATCACGGCGGCACATTGCTTACAGAGGTTAGTGTTGGAGGACGCCCTCCATCCAGGGGCCCTTCGTTTTCCTGCCCAGGGGTGTGGAGTCTGGTAAACAAATCTGGAAGTTAGAGGGCCTGGCCTTGTACTGAGCTGCCCCAGGGCATGGCTCCTATCTCTCCCAGCAGGGCTCTTCACTGGGTCTCAATGCTCCAATCAGGGCTCTTCACCGGGTCTGGGTGCTCCAATCCGGGCTCTTCACCAGGGCTAGGATGCTCCAATCAGGGCTCTTCACCAGGGCTAGGATGCTCCAATCAGGGCTCTTCACTGGATCTGGGTGCTCCAATCAGGGCTCTTCACTGGATCTGGGTGCTCCAATCAGGGCTCTTCACTGGATCTTAGTGCTCCAATCAGGGCTCTTCACTGGGTCTTAGTGCTCCAATCAGAGCTCTTCACCAGGGCTAGGATGCTCCAATCAGGGCTCTTCACTGGATCTTAGTGCTCCAATCAGGGCTCTTCGCTGTTCCTGTGCTCTTTCTTCATCCTGGCTTGGCAGATCCAAGGACCCCAACCAGTACAGCGTGAATTTGGGAACCCAGGAACTCCCGGACAACAGCACCCGGCATCTGCTCATTCGAATCGTGATTCATGAGAATTTCGACAATCGCATATCTGAGGACATCGCCCTCCTGAAGCTCAGAGAGCCTATAACCTGGTCGCCTCTTATCCAGCCCGTCTGCCTCCCTGTCCAAAATTTCAAGCCAACTCTCGGCACCATGTGTTGGGCTGTTGGGTGGGGACAGAAAGGGGGTAACGGTGAGTACAGGGAAGCAGAGATACTTGTTTCTGACAACTTCTTCATGGACAGACAGACAGACAGACACACACACACACACAAGTTTTCCTTCTCTGTGCCTATTCTAGAGCTTGAACTTTGGGCCTAGCCTCTATCCCTTAGGGTTTTTACTCAAGGCTAGTGCTCTTTTATTTGAGCCACAGCTCTATTTCTGGTCTTTTGGTAGTTTATCACAGGTAAAAGTTCGATGGGCTTTTCTGCCTGGGCTGGGTTCAAACCTGGATTCTCAGATCTCAGCCTCCTGAGTAGCAAGAATGAAGGCATGAGCCACTGGCACCCGCCTCTTCTTTTTAATTTAAATTATTTGATTGTTCCTATAAAGATGATAGACAAAAGGGGTTCCATAAGTCAGGTGGAAAGCCCATTTCTTGTTGGACAATGTCCCCCCTTCCCTGGTGCTCTCCCAGGTTTTCTCTCTCATCCCTGACCTATAAGCTGTATAGTTCATTCTCCACATTGTGTCCAGTGAGGACCACTTGGGCCTTTGTGAAACTCTTCATCTTCAGTGAGTCACCAAAACGCCGGAAGTGGAGGCATGGTGCAAGTAGTAGAGTGTCAAGCCTTGAAGAGAAAAAGCTAAGGCACAGCGCCCAGGCCCTGAGTTCAAGCTTTGCTACTGACACACACACAAAATGAGCTCTCTCCCTCCCCCTTCTCCTCCCTGCTCAACCAGGTACCAAAAATGCGCCATACCATCTCCAGGAGCTGGCCATGAGAGTGGTCAGCAATGACATTTGCAATCACCGGTACCAGTTCCTGCTGTGGAAAAAACCAGAAGAAGTTTATCGGGAGTGACATGCTGTGTCTCATGCCGGAGTGGGGCCTGGACACGTGTCAGGTGTGGAGTGGGGGTCGGGGGAAGGGAGGAGGAGAGACCCCCTAGGGGGAGGTCACACCTAGCTGGCTGGGGGAAGATCTAATCAAAGTCTCCTTTCCTCTGCTTTGTGCAGAGTCATGGGAAGAATCATGACATTGTACGGGTCTTTTTTTTTTGGTCAGTCATGGGGCTTGAACTCTGGGCCTGGGTGCTGTCCCTCAGCTCTTCAACTCAAGATGAGCGCTCTACCACTGGAGCTACAGCGCCACTTCCGGTTTCCTGGTGGTTTATTGGAGATTAGAGTCTCACAGACATTCCTACCCAGGCTGGTTGTGAACTGTGATTCTCAGATTCTCCTGAGTAGCTAGGATGACAGGTGTGAGCCACTGGCAGCTGGCTTGGGTTTTATTTGATTCTGGGGCTTGAATTCAGGACTTGGCGCTATCCTTGAGCCTCTGGGTTCAAGGCTAACGCTCTACCACTTGAGCCACTTCTGGCTTTTTCTGAGTAGTTTATTGGAGGTCAGAGTCTTCTGGACTTTCCTTCCTGGGCTGGCTTTGAACTTGGATCATCAGATCTCAGCCTCCTGAATAGCAGGCATCAGCCGCCGGTGCCCAGCTAATGGCCTAATTCTCCTAGCCTTTGTGCACCAGGGAAGCTTATTAAGGGATGAAATGGTGGGGAGCAGGGGATGGGGGCTCCCACATTCTTGACCAAGTTATAGTATCCAGTCCCTGTATGCTCTTGGAAATTACTTGTCCATGTTTCTGGAACATTTGACATAACATAAATTCTCCCCGCCTTGAAGATTGTATAGACGTTCCTATGAAACCACAAGGTCACATTTTCCCTTTGAAGGGTGGTTCTTGGGCAATTCTTAAGTTGTTTTGTACATAGTTATTGGCCGAGTCAGGCTTTCTATCACCATTGCAATTTGTCTAAATGATTGGTCTTTTCTTAGAAATTATTCCTTTCATCCAGAATTTAAATGCACCAAGATGAGGAAGTTTGTAAGCTCTGCCTGGGGGTTCTGAGAAAGTATATTTATTCCCCCCTGGGCGTGGTGCTAGTTTCTATTCTTACTCAAACCACAGAGCATTTGAATTTTCCTCTGTGTGTGTGTGTGTGTGTGTGTGTCTTTGGTAAGACTCACAAACTTCTTTCTTGCTTTCCTTTCCCTCCTCTCCTCTCCACCCTTCCTCCTTCCCTCCTTCCCTTCCCTCCCACCCCTCCCTCCCTCTCTCCCTCCCTCCCTCCCTCTCTCTCTTCCTTCCTTCCTTCCTTCCTTCCTTCCTTCCTTCCTTCCTTCCTTCCTTCCTTCCTTCCTTCCTTCCTTCCCTCCCTTCCTTCTTTCTATATCAGTATTTGGGGCTTGAACTCAGGGCCTGAGCACTGTTCCTTAGTTTTTTCCACTCAAGGCTAGAGTTCTGTCACTTGAGCCACAGCTCCACTTCCAGCTTTCTGCTAGTTCATTGGAGATAAGAGTCTCACAGACTTTCCTGCCCGGGTTGGCTTTGAAGCTCGATCCTCAGATCTCAGTCTCCTGAATACCAATCTCTTCCCACCAAGCAGCAGCACAAGGATCTGAGTTCAAGCCCCACTATTGGCACATACAACACACACACACACACACCAGACACACACAAAATAAGACTGGGTGCTGGTGGCTCATGCCTGTCACCCTGACATCTGAAGAATATGGTTTGAAGCTAGCTTGGGCAGAAAAGTCCATGACACTCTTATCTCCAATAAACTGCTTAGAAAGAGCCAGAAGTGGAGCTGTGGCTTAAGTGGTAGAGCACTAAGTCTTGGGAAAAATTGCTTAAAGACAGCACCCAGGCCTTGAGTTCAAGCCCCAGGACCAGCATAATAATAATAATAATATAATAATAATAATAATAAGATAGAAGGAGGAGGAGTTACCACTGACCCACCAAGGGCTTTAGGACCGACGTGAGGCAGCAGGATCACAAGCCAGCATGGACCCCAATGTGCAGTCTGGGTGCTGTAGAGCAGGCTTGTAGTCTCGTCACATCCTTGCTGTCAGCCCAAGCCCAGCTGGACTCCAGTCTCACCAGAGGCCTCCTCCAGCTACCCCCTGAAGCCTGTCTCCCCTTTTTCTGTCCCCTGCGCAGGACACGTCTGGCAGCTCCCTCCTCTGCCAGCTGAACACCACCTGGATCCAGATGGGCGTGGCCAGCTGGAGTTTTGGGTGTGGCAAACGTCAGTTCCCAAGCGTCTACACCAGCATCTCCTTCTTCACCCCGTGGATCAAGAAGCACGTGTCCAACATGAGGTTCACCAGCCGGGCCGCCACCTCCTTCCTCAGCCCCATCCTCCTCCTCCTCGTGAGCCACGTTCTACTGGTCTCCTGGGGCTCCCTGGGGCTCCTCTGAGCCTCGTTTCCAGAACATTCCATTCCCACCAGCAACTTCTTCCCTGCTGTCTGCGTGATGTGGAGATCAGAGCTTGGGCAAGGCCCTAGCCCCTCAGGGCGAGAGTGATTTCGGGGAGGGTCTCAGGCCTGCAGTGGTTTTGTTTCCAGTTGCTCAATGAAGATGCTTTTAAATCTTGTCATCCGGGGACTTCGTTCCTAGTTTCTTTTTTGTTTTGGTCGGTCGTGGGGCTTGAACCCAGGGTCTGGGCGCTGCCCCTGAGCTTTTCTGCTCAAGACGAGCTCTACCACTTTGAGCCACAGCGCCACTTCTGGTTTGCAGATGGCTCATTAGAGAGAAGAGTCTTGCGGATTTTCCTAACCTGGCTGGTTTTGAACCATGATCCTCAGATCTCAGCCTCCTGAGTAGCTAGGATGACAGGCGTGAGCCACAGGTGCCCTGGCTCTATTTCTGCTTCTACTAGCAAATTTCAGAGCCCTACCCCTACCCTGCCCCTCAGATCTTTGCCTGAGAACTCTGTGTGTGTGTGTGTGTGCGTGTGTTTTCGCGCGTGCACGTATGTGCTCACACCAGTCTTGAGACTTGAACTCAGGGCCTAGGTACTGTCCCTTAGCTTTTTCCATTCAAAGCTGTCCCTCTACTACCTGAGCCACAGCTCCACTTCCAGCCTTTTGCTGCTCCTTACTTGGAGATAAGATTGTTTTCTGGATGTTCCTGCCCCTGGCTGGTTTTGAACTTGGATCCTCAGATCTCAGCCTCCTGAGGAGCTGGGATGACAGGTGTGAGCCTCTAGCATCTGGTTCCTGTGCTGTTTTTGTTTTGTTTTGTTTGTCAGTTGTGGGGCTTGAACTCTGGGCCTGGGCGCTGTCCCTCAGCTCTTCAGCTCAAGGCAAGCGCTCTACCACTTGAGCCACAGCACCACTTCAGGTTTTCTGTGGTTTACTGGGGATAAGAATCTCACAAACTTTGCTGCCCAGGCTGGCTTTGAACCGAGGTCCCCAGATCTCAGCCTCCTGAGTAGCTAGGATTATAGGCGTGAGCCACTGGCACCCAGCTTGTGTTGTATTCTCCACCTAGGTCGGCTAACCCCTTCAAATAGCCCCCAAAGGCTTGGTGTGTGTAACCTGAGCTGCATTTCCTCAGTGGACTCAGGGAAGAGTTCTACTGTTCAGAGGTGGGTGGGGAAACTTGCTGAAAGTAATACAGTCTTAGGCTGGGTTGTAGTTCAGTCCTGGATCTGATCCCCAGTACCAAAAAAAGTAGTAATAGTACTAGTAGTAGTAATAATAATAATATAGTCTTGCTAGGGCCAGTGGCCCCTTCCTGTAATCCAAGCTACTCAGAAGGCTGAGACTTGGATGATGGTGGTCTGAAGTCAGCCTGGGCAAAGTCTGTGAGACTCTATGTCCAATTAGCTGGCAAAATGCTGGACTGAAGGCATGACTCAAAGGGTAGGTAGAGGGCTTGGAAGGTGGCTTCGTGGTAGAGTGCTTGCCTAGCTTGCATGAAGCCCTGGCTTCAATTTCTCAGCACCACATCCACAGAAAAAGCTGGAAGTGGCACTGTGGCTCAAGTGGGAGAGCGCTCGCCTTGAGCAAAAGCAGCTCAGGGACAGCGCCCAGGCAAGGCAGGTGTAGTAAGCTAAGAATAAGCAAGAGGTTCTGAGTTTGACTCCAATACCAGAAACAGAAAAGAAAACCCAACATCCTTTAGAACAGATTCATTTGCATGATTTCAGATCCTGAGACAAAAAAGTGGGGGAGTTTGGAGATCCTAGCTGTGGGGATGGAGGGGGGTATTGGGATGTGGGAGGCTGTGGAGAAGGAGGGGGTATTGGGGTACACCAGGAGGTCCGCGTCTTCTGGAGGTGTGAGCACTTGGCCAGGCTCAGTGGAGCTAATCCAAGCAACTTCCAAGCGCAGTCAGGTGGGGGATGAGGGTTTGGAGGGGGGAGGAGTGGGGGGAGGAGGTGCAGGAGGGGAGGGATGAGGGGTGAGGGGTGGGAGGATGTGGAGTTGGAGGGGTGAGGGATGAGGGGTGGGTGGAGAGGGGTGGGGTGCAGAGGGGTGGAGAGGAGGGATGAGGGGTAGAGGGGAGGGGTGAGGGGTGAAGGGGGGGTGGAGAGGTGGGGTTGGAGGGGAGGAGTGGGGAGGGGTGAGGGGTGAGGGATGGGGAGTGGAGGGATGAGGGGCAGAGGGGTGAGGCATGGAGGGGTGAGGGATGCGGGGTGGGTGGAGAGGGGTGGAGAGGAGGGATGAGGAGGGGTGAGGGGTGAAGGGGTAGAGGGGAGGGGTGAAGGGGTGGGGAGTGGTGGGGTCCTGGGGAGGGATGAGGGGCAGAAAGGGGGAGGCAGAGGGGGGAAGGAGGGAGGCCTGGAAGGGGAGGGGGAGGCATGGAGGGGGAGGGGGAGGCCTGGAGGGGGAGGGGGAGGCCTGGAGGGGGAGGGGAAAGGTATGGAGGGGGGAGGGGGAGGCCTGGAGGGGGAGGGGGAGGGGGAGGCCTGGAGGGGGGAGGGGGTGGGGCATGGAAGGGGGAGGGGTGGGGCATGGAGGGGGGGAGGGAGAGGCATGGAGGGAGAGGGGGCATGACTGGAGTTCAGCACGCTCCCTGGCACTCGTGTCCAGACATGGCAGCCGGGTGGAGGCTCCCTGAGTAGGTGGCCGCCGGGGGCGCTGTGCGCGCGGGGACGGCGATGCAGGGGGCGGCCGCTGGGGGCGCTGTGCGCGCGGGGACGGCGATGCAGGGGACGGCGATGCGGCGGGCGGCCGCCAGGGGCGCTGTGCGCGCGGGGACGGCGATGCGGCGGGCGGCGATGCAGGGGGCGGCCGCCGGGGGCGCTGTGCGCGCGGGGACGGCGATGCAGGGGGCGGCCGCCGGGGGCGCTGTGCGCGCGGGGACGGCGATGCGGCGGGCGGCGATGCAGGGGGGCGGCCGCCGGGGGGCGCCGCGCGCAGGCGCAGTGGGCACAGTCCCGCGGTCGGTGGAGGATGGAGCCCCGGCGGCAGCGCCGGACCCCGGACCCCCCCCAGTCCGGCTCGCCAGGATTCCCCCGCGGCGCCCCACGCCCGATTCCTGCTGCTGGTGGTGGTGCTGCTCCTGCTGCGCTGGCCCCCGGGTGAGGCCTGCCCAGCCCTGCCCAGCCCTGCCCACGCGGGGGCCGCCCCGACCCCAGACCCCAGGTCCCGCCCCGACCCCAGGCCCCGCCCCGACCCCAGACCCCAGGTCCCGCCCCGACCCCAGGCCCCGCCCCGACCCCAGACCCCAGGTCCCGCCCCGACCCCAGACCCCAGGTCCCGCCCCGACCCCAGACCCCAGGTCCCGCCCCGACCCCAGGCCCCAGGTCCCGCCCCGACCCCAGGCCCCAGGCCCCGCCCCGACCCCAGGCCCCGCCCCGACCCCAGGCCCCGCCCCAACCCCAGGCCCCTCCCTGACCCCAGGCCCCACCCTGACCCCGGGCCCCTCCCTGACCCCGGGCCCCTCCCTGACCCCGGGCCCCTCCCTGACCCCAGGCCCCGCCCCGACCCCAGACCCCAGGCCCCGCCCCGACCCCAGACCCCAGGTCCCGCCCCGACCCCAGGCCCCTCCCCGACCCCGGGCCCCTCCCCGACCCCGGGCCCCTCCCCGACCCCAGGCCCCTCCCCGACCCCAGGCCCCTCCCTGACCCCAGGCCCCTCCCTGACGCCGGGACCCCGGGCCCCTCCCTGACCCCAGGCCCCTCCCCGACCCCAGGCCCCGCCCCGACCCCAGGCCCCTCCCTGACCCCAGGCCCCTCCCCGACCCCAGGCCCCGCCCCGACCCCAGGCCCCTCCCTGACCCCAGGCCCCTCCCTGACCCCAGGCCCCGCCCCGACCACGGCCCCTCCCTGACCCCAGGCCCCTCCCTGACCCCAGGTCCCTCTCTGACCCCAGGCCCCGCCCCGACCACGGGCCCCGCCCTGACCCCAGGCCCCTCCCTGACCCCAGGCCCCTCCCTGACCCCGGGCCCCTCCCTGACCCCGGGCCCCTCCCTGACCCCGGCCCCTCCCTGTCTGCTCGCAGGCGGCCTGGCCACCGTCGGAGCCCAGGGCGCGCTGCCCACGGCGGCCCCAGCCCCCCCTGCGGCCTCCTCCTGCACCCCCGACGGCCCCTGCCCCTCGGACGGGCCTCCCCATGCGCAGCAGGCCGAAGAGGAGACCTCGACGGAGGGGATGACCAGTGCCACCATCAAAGCCCACAGCGTGTTACCCTGTGAGCTGCTGCGTTCTGGGGGGGGGCGGGGGGGGGGGGAGCCTGGATGGACAGAGGGACGGAGGAGCCGGGGGTCCAGTAAACAAGTTGCAGCATGTTTCTGGAATAACTACCCACCACCACCACCACCACCCCCTCCCTTTAGCTGGTCCTGGGACTTGACCTCAGGGCCCCCAGGGTGCTCATCCCTGATGCTCTTGGGGCTCATCCCTGATGCTCTTGGGGCTCATCCCTGATGCTCTTGGGGCTCAAGGTGAGAGAGAGCTCAACCACTTGAGCCACAGCGCCACTTCCAGCTTTTTCTGCTTATGTGGTGCTGAGGAATCGAACTCAGGGCTTCATGCATGCTAGGTGAGCACTCTACCACGGAGCCACCTTCCCAGCCTGCCATTCATTTTATTTTTCATTTTGCTGGTCGTGGGGCTTGAACTCTGGGCCTGGGCACTGTCCCTGAACTCTTCAGCTCCAGGCTAGCACTCTAGCACTCAAGCCACAGCGCCAGGTCCTGTTTTCTGAGTGGTTTATTGGAGATAAGAGTCTCTCGGCCTTTCCTGTCTCGGGCTGGCTTTGAACCGTGATCCTCAGATCTCAGCCTCCTGAGTAGCTGGGATGACAGGCGGGAGCCAGCGGCGTCTGGCTCTGCAATTCATTTTTAAAGACGTTGCGGTGATCACATGAATTCTTCCTTTCCCTTTTCCTCTGGGTAAATTAGAGAAAGGGGGAGAGGGGGGATCCCCCTTTGGAGAAGGGAAGAGGGCGGAGGCAGAAGCCCAGGGCTTGAAAGGCCTGGCTGGGGTTGAGAAGGGGTACACTGGGCAGGTTGGCACATGCTGGCGGTGGGGCTCAGGGTGGAGCTGGGCGGGTGTCCCCCTCATTGAGTCCTCCATCCCGCAGCCTGCGGCTACTCCTACGAACGAGACACCACCCTGAGGGACCCGGTGGCCATGGCCAAGAGGTGGCCTTGGATGGTCAGCGTGCGGGCCAACGGCACCCACATCTGCGCGGGCACCCTCATCGCCTCCCAGTGGGTGCTGACCGGGGCTTACTGCTTGACCCAGTGAGTTGGGGCCCAGGTGGGGGATGGGTAGAGAGGGAGCTGGGGGACCCCCCTCCCCCCAGTTCTCTCCTTATGGAGCCTACAGTCTTCATCTTGGCTCTAATGAGGTGGAGGCTTGATTGGCCTGCAGGTTTCCCTCCTGGAGTGTGTGTGTGGGGGGGGGCAGTATTTGGAGTGTGCACCCACATTTGGCCCTCTCACTTGCCCTTCCATCCTGTCAAGGTCATTGGCTGGCAAAGGCAAGAAGTCCCTGTGTTTGGCTACTTCTGGAAGGAGATCCTAGGTCTTTCACTCCACCTCCTTTGCTCACTTATTGGGTCATCCTGCTGTCAATCAACCCTGGGAGGAGGGCCTAGGCCTTTAACTCCACCCCCTTTGCTCACTTATTGGGTTATCCTGCTGTCAATCAATCCTGTCTTTCAGTTATTGGGTCATCCTGCTGTCAATCAACCCTGTCTTTCATTCAATTGGGTCATCCTGCTGTCAATCAACTGTGTGTGTGTGTGTGTGTGTGTGTGTGTGTGTGTGTGTGTGTGTGTGTGTCTGTCTGTCTGTCTGTCTGTCTGTCTGTCTATGTGTGTCTGTGTGTGAGTACTGGGGCTTGAACTCAGGGCCTTGGTGCTGTCCCTGAGCATTTCCACTCAAGGCCAGCACTCTACCACTTTGAGCCACAGCTCCACTTCAGGTTTTTGGAATGGTTCATGGGAAATGAGTCTCATGGGGACATCTCTGCCCAGGGTGGCTTCGAACCCCGATCTTCCCATCTCAGCCTCCTGAGGAGCTGACAGGCGTGAGCCACCGACGCCCAGCTTCGCTCTTTCCTTTTCCTTGCCCCCCCCTCTTCCTGGCTTTTCCTAGCTCCAATGTGAACTACACCGTGAGGGTGGGAAGCCCGTGGCTTGATGAGGTCACGGAGAAGACGGCAGATGTGCAGGTGCTAAAGGTCCTCCTGCACAGGAGGTACCGATCGGAGCGGTACTGGTCCTGGGTGGGCAGATCCCACAACATCGGGCTGCTCAAGCTCCAGCACACGCTCAAGTATAGCGATCACGTGTGGCCCATCTGCCTGCCGGGCCTGGAGTTCGAGGTGGAGGATAAAGCTGTGTGCGCTGTCACGGGCTGGGGCTATCCCAGAGCCGAAGGTGAGTCTCAGCTTCCCCACAGCCAGGGAGGCCATGGGAGAGACCGAGGACTTGGGTTAGAGGCCCAGGGATGTGAATTCTTCGGGTACTGTTTTGTTGTTGTTGTTTTTTTAAATCAGTCGTGGGGCTTGAACTCAGGGCCTAGGCACTGTCCCTGAGCTCTTTTGCTCAAGGCGAGCACTCTACCACTTTGAGCCCCAGCTCTACTTCCAGTTTTCTAGTGGTTCATTGTAGCTAAGAGGCTCCCGGACCTGCCCAGGCTGGCTTTGAACTCTGATCTTCAGATCTCAGGCTCCCGAGTAGCTAGGATTGCAGTCTTCAGATATAAGATTGTGGTTTTGTGGAGGGAGGGTAGGAAGGGGCCGCCTGGAGCTGGCTGTGAACAGTGATTCTCCCATGCCTGCCTACCAAGTAGCTGAGATTATAGGTGTGCGCTACTATGCCAGTCTCAAGACTTTATCTCAGTAGCTATGCCCAGCTGTTCCCCAAGACCAGCCATAGCATGAACCACAGGGGGAGGATTCATTGGCTCCTTGCAACTTTGGTGGATAGGGGGCAGGTGATGGCTTTGCTTCGTAACTGTCATGTGGCACAGAAAGGAAGCCGTGGGGTAAGGGTGTGTGTGTGAGGGGGAAGTGGGGGGAAGATGGCAGAAAGTAATGGAGGTAAGACTTGGTCAACATCACAAGAGCCAAGGCTAAATGCAGCTTTGTCGCCCAGGCATGTGGCCGCAGTTTCGAACCATTCAGGAGAGGGAAGTGGTCATCTTGAACAGCCGGAAGTGTGAGGACTTCTACCACAGGTCGGCCAGGATCCCGTCCCTGATTCGAATCATCACCCCACAGATGATCTGTGTCTCAGACATCAACAGAGAGGACTTCTGCTACGTGAGTACCTTGGCACCCCTTCGAGCTTGGTAGTGGGATGCCACTACCAAGAGGATGGAAGGGTAGACAGGGCTTCGAAGTAAATGAGGGCTGGGCGCCATTGGCTCACGCCTGTCATCCTAGCTACTCGGGAGGCTGAGATCTGAGGATCACATTTCGAGGCCAGCCTGGGCAGGAAAGGCCACGAGACCCTTATCTCCAATGAACCACCAGAAAACTGGAAGTGGTGCTGTGGCTCAAGTGGTAGAGCGCTTGCCTTGAGCTGAAGAGCTCAGGGACAGCGCCCAGGCCCAGAGTTCAAGATCCACGACTGCCCCCCTCCTAAAAAGTAAATGAAAATGCAAAGCCGAAGTTGGGGTGGAGACAGGGAGGAAGGGGCGGGGACTGCGTGAAGATGCATTTGGAGGTGAGAGAGGAAATAGGAGACGTGGGAAGGGAAGGTAAAGGGAGGGTGTCCTTTAGCGGGGGCGGGGGGTTAAAGGGGCTCCCCCAAGGTCTGGAGCAAGAAGAACATGGGGGAGATACTGAGTCATGACCTTGACTCTATTTTCTTCCCCCCGCCCCGTTTTGTTTTGAGCAGGTCCTGGGGCTTGAACTCATAGCCTGGGCCTTGTCCCTGAGCTTGTTTTGCTCAAGGCTAGCGCTCTACCAACTTTGAGCCACAGCGCCCTTTCTGGCTCTTTCTTTCTTTTTTTGGGGGGGGAGGGGTGGTTCCTTGGAGATGATTGTTGCAGGCACTTTCCTGCCTGGGGCTGTCTTTGAACCTCCATCCTTGATCCTCACCTCTCAGCCTCCTGAGTAGCCAGGGTGATGAGGATGAACCCCCCCCCAGGCCCTTGGCCCTTGGGTAACCTGCTGCCCCCCCTCTTCAGGAGAGCACGGGCGAACCCCTGGCCTGCAATGTGGACGACACCTGGTATCTGGTAGGATTGGTGAGCTGGGGTGCGGGTTGCGAGAAGAGCGACTCCCCACCCATCTTCCTGAAAGTCTCCTCCTACCAGTCATGGATCTGGGACCGTCTAAGTGGGGAGCCCCCGGCCCTGCCGGCCCCATCCAAACCCCTGCTCCTGGCTCTCCTGCTATCCCTCGGCCCCCTAGGGGATCTGTGACCCCAGATCCATCCGGGGACTTACGCCTCTTATCCCTCCATTCTCCTCCTCCTCCTCTTCCCAACTCTGAGTGTCCCCTGTTCTCGGAGCCCAAGGCCGGGCAGGAGATGTTCCATTAAACATTTCGTTTCTCTCCATGTCTCTTCCTTTGCGGGTCTGGGGTGGGGGGTGGGGGCCTCATTTTGTGTGTGGGGGTGGGGGAAGAGACTCTGGATAGTTTATACCACAAAGTATAGATTCCCCCCCCTCCAAAAAAAGTTTGGGGGTGACGGCTCTTGCCGTATGCTGGCAGCCATGGCTACTGCACTCAGGAGGCTGAGATCTGACGATCCTGGTTCAAATTCAGCCTGGGCAGGAAGAATCTGTGAGACTCAGGTCTCTAATAAGTTGAAAAAGAAAAAAAGATGGAAGTGGAGCTGTGGCTCTGCTGGTTAGAGCACTAAGCTGGTGCACAAGAAGTTCAGGGACAGCACTCAGGCCCTGAGTTCAAGCCCAAGGACTGGCACCCCCCCCCCCCAAAAAAAAAAAAAAAAGAAAAAAAAATCCAAGGATGAATTAGGTCAGGAGACAGGTAAGCGCCTGGCGATGAGAAGACACTCTACTTTATTTGTAATCCTACAAGGTGGTTTGGGGGCTGGGAAGGTGGCTTAGTGGTAGAATGCTCACCTAGCATGCCTGAAGCCCTGGGTTCGATTCCTCAGTACCACAGATGCAGATCAAGCCGGCTGCTGGTACCACTGCCCTGATCTCCTAAAGGGCACTAGAGATCAGAACTGAACTTCCTCTCTTCTTTTCCTTTCTTTTTTGCACATCCAAGATGGAACTTGAACTCAGTACCTGATGCTTTGGCTCACTGCCTGGCACTAAACCAAGGTAGAGAAACAATCCTGGGAGCTGGGAAGGTGGCTCAGTGGTAAAGCACTCGCCTAGCATGCATGAAGCCCTGGGTTCGATTCCTCAGGACCACATCCACAGAAAAAGCTGGAAGTGGCGCTGGGGCTCAAGTGGTAGAGTGCTAGCCTTGAGCAAAAGCAGCTCAGGGACAGCGCCCAGGCCCTGAGTTCAAGCCCCAGAACTGGCAAAAAAAAAAAAAAAAAAATCTGGTACTAAGCCAGGTGCCAGTGGCTCAAACTGTCATCCTAACTACTCAGGAGGCTGAGATCTGAAATCTGTGGTTCAGAAGCAACCGGGGCAGGAAAATCTGAGACTTTTTATCTCCCAAAAGCAGAAAGTGGAGATGTAGCTCAAGCGGTAGAGCACCAACCATAAGCAAAAAAGCCAAGTGTAAAGAATATAAGGTAGCTGGATGCCAGTGGCTCACACCTGTCATCCTAGCTACTCCGGAGACTGAGATCTGAGGATCGCAGTTCAAAGCCAGCCCAGTCAGAAAAGTCCCCGTGAGACTCTGATCTCCCATGAACCACTCAAAAAACACAACTGGCGCTGTGGCTCAAGTAGTAGAGGAACAGGGACCCAAGGAACGTGCCCACGGGAAAGGAGACTAAAGGATCAGACTCTGTGTAGTGTTGTCCCTGTCCTGGTTGGGCCTTGAGGATGTGGTCAGGGCCTCAGTTTCCCCTCTGATCACAGCTTTGGTGGATGAGCTCAGAGTCCAGATGCCCGCAGGTTGTGGTGAGGGCTTCGGCTCTGGGCTGGCCAGCTGCCAGGCTGACGTCTTGGCTGCATTCATTTCTCTCCTTTCTTCTTTTTGGCTTCATTTTTCTCATCTTCTTCGACTTTGATGGCCACCGTGTCCACGCTGTCCTTCTTCTTCTTCTTCTTCTCTTCTGTAAGGAGAAAAAAAAAAAAAGAGGTCAAAACACAGTGGTGACATTGGCACCCAGGTTTTCTAAGTAGGAGGTCCTAGAACCTCTTCCATGGGGTCTTGAACTCAGGGCCTGGGCACTGTCCCTGAGCTCTTCAGCTCAAGGCGAGCGCTCTACCACTTGAGCCACAGCCCCTCTTCCAGATTTGTTTTCGTTTCAGTGATTTATTGGAGAGAAGAGTCTCGTAGGATTTTCTTGCCCGGGCTGGCTTCAAACTACGATCCTCAGATCACAGCCTCCTGAGGATCTAGGATGACCTGTGACCCACTGACACCTGGCTGGTTTCTGGTTGAAGAACAAACGCAGGGTGATCTGAACAGCTGAACTGAGAAACTGGTTGGCCCAAGGATCTTCCTCACCTCCTGGGATTTCTGTGAGCTCGTTCAGTGGTGGTACGGTCTCCAACTTGTCCGTGTACATCTTGGCTGCTTTTTTCTGGAGGTAGCGGGCCTCGATCTCTTTCCGGGTACGAGGAACTCGACAGTTGAAGATACAGCACAAAGTGATAACTATAAAGAAGACATAGCAGGCTGGGCTAGAGCTGAGCTTCAGCTCGATTCATTTTGTGTGTGTGTGTGTGTGTGTGTGTGTGTGTGTGTGTGTGTATGTGTGTGTGTGTGTGTTGGTACTGGGACTTGAACTCAGGGCCTTCACTAGCACCCTCCCACGTGAGCTTACCCCCTCTCCCCTTCATTTCAGGCTTTTTTTTTTTTTTCTTTTTGGTGGTTAATGAAGAGTCTGTTGGACTTCCCTGCCTGGACTGGCTTTGAATGGCGATCTTCAGATTTCAGCCTCCCGAGTGGCTGGGATTACAGGCGTGAGCCTCAGCGCTCGATTCTTAAGTTGGAACTAAGGATGTCCTATGTTTATTTTGCACGGGTCCCAGAACGAGTTCATCCAACCCTGGTCCTAAAGGTCTTTCTCTAGACTCTTGGATGCCAGAGGACAAAGCGGAGGAAGGGCTTACATCATGGCTCTTAAGGACTGATGCTCAGCGTTTTCAACCCACACCTCTGGGTTTGTACCTTGTCCGTGGTAGGTTTCCTGTCCAAGGCTTCTGAGAGCAAAGCCAGAGCTGTCTCAGACACCCCTGGGGACGTGGCTGTGTCCCCTCTCAGCTTCCCTGAGGACAAGCCTGGGGCCTCTCTGGCAGGGAGAAAAAACTAGACCTTGTCCTGGGGTGTCAGTCTCAGAGAGAGACTATTATTCCAGGAGTTGGTTTTCCGGTGCCTAGCAGTCACACCCACACCCAGTTGGGCTCCGGGTATGCCTGGTTCTGGGCAGGGCAGGTTCTAGCTGGGGCTGGACTGAGTTTATTTTTCTAAGGCCCCCACAGTCTGACCACCTTGGCCCATGTCCCAGGAGAGCAATGTGGAACTGTAGGCCTGGTTTCTATTATAAATCAGATGACAGACAACAACACTTCCTGGCAGAATGCTGAGGAGTTAGAAGGAGGCCCAGGCAGGAAACGCTAGGCCTATTTTGGGGTGAGGGAGGGGGATAGATCCGATCCATGTAGCGTGGTTGGAGCATCTTCTGGGATCATGGTGTGTATGTGTGTGTAAGCGCCAGTATTGGGGCTTGAACTCAGCTTTGTACTCTTCCCTTAGGTTTTTTGGCTCAAGGCTGGTGAGCTGCCACTTTGAGCCACAGCTCCACTTTTGGCTTTTTTGTTTGTTTGTTTGGTGGTTCATTGGCAATCAGAGTCTGGATTTGGATTATGATCCTCAGATCTCAGCTTCCTGAGTAGCTAGGATTACAGGTGTGAGCTACTGGTGCTCTTTTTTTTTTTTTTTTTGGCCAGTCCTGGGGCTTGAGCTCAGCTTCTTTTGCTCAAGGCTAGCACTCTACCACTTGACCCACAGCACCACTTCTGGCTTTTTCTGTATATGTGGTACTGAGGAATCGAACCCAGGGCTTCATACATACCAGGCAAGCGCTGTACCGCTAAGCCACCTTCCCAACCCCATGCTGCTAGATCTTTTTTGTTGTTGTTGGTGATGATGGTGGTGGGGCTTGAACTCTGGGCCTGGGCGCTGTCCCTCAGCTCTTCAGTTCAAGGCGAGCGCTCTACCACTTGAACCACAGCGCCGGTTTGCTGGTGGTTCATTGGAGAGAAGAGTTTCACAGATGTTCCTACCTGGGCTGGCTTTGAACCTCGATCCTCAGATCTCAGCCTCCTGAATGGCTAGGATGACAGGCATGAGCCACCAGCACCCAGCTATGGTGCTAGATCTTAAATGCAAGCTGTATGGTCTCTATGCAGGGAAGATGATCCACAGGGCTTATCTGAGGCCTCCTGTGGAAGCTGGGCTTCCTCTTGGCTGCTGGGACGCCACGCCCCTTGCTTGGAGAGCCTCCCCTCCCCCCCACCCACATACCCCCAACTCTGCCTTGGCTCTCTGTGCCCCTGCAGCCACCCCAACTCATCTGTATGTTAAACAACTCTCTCCCCCTCTTTTTCAACTTCCGACCTCCATTCCAACAGGAAGGCTGAGAGGTGTAGGCCAAGCCTTTGACTTTGCAACAAGAAACTCCCCGAAGCTGGTGGTGCAGACAAGTCATCCTAGCTACTCAGGAGGCTGAGATAAGAGGATCCTGGTTTGAAGGCAGGCTTCCCTCCAGTGAACCAGCAAAAAGCTAGGTAGGAGTGGAGGTATGGCTCAAATGGTAGTGGGCCAGCCTTGAATGGAAAAAAATAGTTAAAGGACAATACCCAGGCCCTGAGTTTGAGCCCCAGTTGTGACAAAAACAAAACAAAACAACAACAAAAAAAATGGAGAGCTGGTGGCTCAAGCCTGTCATCCTAGCTACTCAGGAGCCTGAGATCTGAGGATCGTGGTTCAAAGCCAGCTTGGGCAGAAAAAAAAATCTGTGGGACACACCAGCAAAAAAAACTAAAGGGCTGGGATGGTGGCTCAGTAGTAGAGTGCTTGCCTAGCCTGCATGAAGCCCTGGGTTCAATTCCTCATTACCACATACACAGAAAAAGCCAAAAGTGGGCGCTGTGGCTCAAGGGGTAGAGTACTAGCTTTGAGCAGAAACAGCTCAGGGACAGTGCCCAGGCCCTGAGTTCAAGCCTCAGGAAGGACTGGCTAATTAATTAATTAAAATTACAGGTATCTCCAGCCTTGGGACAAAAATAAGAAGCTAAGAAACAGTGCTCAGGCCCTG